TGTGGTATGGTGAGAGTACAGAGAGAGAAAAGTGGTGGACCATGAGCTGGAGCCCTTTTGCAAGGGCAAGCAGTAGAAACACATATTCTTTATGTTTGGTAGCAGGAGTGAGGTGCACACAAAAATCTTACTAATTATGCTGCTCTAGGAGATGGAAACTCAACCAGACATACACAGAGCAGGGAAAACCCCCAGAACTGAGATTATATGAGCACCAGCCTCACCAGTGGGACCATAAGGGAGAAGGAGAGGGGCTAAGCAAGGTCACAAAAATGATCAAATTCTGTGAGAGCGTACATACACAAGAGTATGAAGACTTTGACAAAAGCTAGTGGTGGATCATTGAGAGGCCAAGGCAGTTAAGTTCCTGCTTTGTTACATAGATAAATTGCCAAAGGAAACATTATCCAAACAGTTCTACTTCAAAGGCAAAATGACAAGCTTTGGGGAACTTGCGGTACTTTCAATCTGGCCAATAACCAAGTGTAAAGTGTAAAATATACATGTTTAGGAAGTAGGACACATGCCGTTCAAGACAGGCCTTTCCCATGCTCTCAGACCAGTGCAGCTTCATTTGATGTGCAAATGCATGATGTGTGATCTGTCCTGGCAATGTGCTGCCTGCCAGCAGCACAAACATTTCACAAGCACCCTTTTGGGTTACTCCAGCCTGCTGTGTGCACAGCCTCCTTGGCAACCTCTGCAGCTGGAGCTTTTCTTACAGTCTGTTGCTGTGGTGGTTGCACAATGCAGGTTTATGTAGTGTGTCTCATCAAGAGACTCTAGGCAGTTAAAAACACCTTGAAAACATCGTGGAATTGCAGGATTTGATGTTAGATACTAGGATTAAATGACAATACAAGGAATGGTTACAGTAATGCATTGGGGAACATATCAGTAATGTAGACTCAGTTGGTCCTTAAGGCAGATTGTCCCAGCAGATGTCCCAGCCTTCCTGGATACTGGTGACTTCAGGGTATTACAGATGATGGCAAAGGCCCTCCACTATGTGTTCATAAATTTCACATGAAATCAGGTGAAAAAAGTGTTCCCTGGAGTGCTTCCTGGCACTGCAGGCACAGCCAGAAATACATGTACTATGCACAGTACAAGCCAGCCTCCGTTATTTGATGAAACTCATCCTAATAACCCATGGAAAGTAACAGTGCAAATGCTCACCATAAAGAAGCAGTGGATTGTAGGTGTGGTCTCTCTTCAGTACGGGCTTGAGTGGATTTAAATGTATGATATCAGAAAAAAATAGTTGTGGTCTTTATGATGCAACTGAGCTCTAGAATACCTGTGCTAGTGGGATGAGGCTGGCTTTTAGTGAGGGTTCAGGATGTAAACTCAGCTGGCAGAACTGATCAGAACCAACCATTCTTAGGAACCAGGGGCATGCAGATGGTGCTTTTCCTCCCTCTCTAACAGTAAGCTAAGGGACTTAGGTTGGGATATTATGGAGAGCTGTGGTGACTTACCCCAGTTGTACCAAGAGGCAAATTAGCCTTGTGCCTCCCCTCACAGTGTTGGGACAGATTCCCAGTGCTGTGTGCACGTGCAGCCTCTGGGCCTAAGGCATAGATAAGCAGGCACTTGGTGCTGAGCACTACCCAGTGCAACAGCTGTGGCTACAAAGAAAACTTAACCTGCTCTCCACCACTGAAATGCCTGAACTTGTGCTGCAGCCAGCTGTAATCATCTGTTTCTTGTGTTAACCTTGAATTCCAGCATGTCAGTTCCGGTCCTCTGAGAAAAATTAGGGAAGTGCTTATTGAAACCAGCATCCTAGCACTCCACACTGTGCTGGGTGGAAGAGAGAAGTGGGACCCCAAGCCTCAAGAGCCTTAGTAGTAGCATATTCTAGCCACACTTTAGTCATGTGAGATTATACCACTCTTCTCACTTTAGACTAATATATCCTTATAAATGGCCCAACTTCATGCTTAAGTCCCACAGTTGCTTCAGGAGTTCCTGAGCTTTCTGGCTGAGCCACACACAGTTCCCTGATACCTGTGCACTGTCAGTGGACACAGAAGATACAGTGAAGATACAGAAAGAATTATAGACTGTGTGTTTAATGAGGACAAGGGAGGAAGATGGGTTTTATGCAGCTGTAGTCTAATGTGCTGAGAGAAATCTGTTTGAATGGGTTGGGAATGCTGATGGCATCTAATAGCCACGAAGGCTTTTCCTGCTTCCTGATAGATATAGCACTGTGAATATCAGTCATTGTGGTATGAAGTTGTTACGAGAAAAATAACTTCCTGTGTTGATGGACTTAGCATGCAGTAAATGGAGATGTACGGATGCAAATGTAAGGTGGTAAATGTAGCTCTCCAGAGCTCTATGTGTAACCATGCAGAGTCATAAGTAAAAAGTACAGAGCATTGCTTGTCTTTGACTTCCTCTCTAGCTCAGCTGGTGCCCTGAATTCAGTGTTATTATGGTTCTTTTTTTCCAGGACAGAACTGAGAAATAACAGGGTGCTGTGACACACAGTGCCACTGCATATGCAAGGCAAGATTTTTCATCCTGGCCTCTGTGGGGGAAAGAGCAAGAGCATTCTCTGTAACAGGGCACAAATAAATGTGTGAATGCTATCCAAGTAGTATCAATATCCACTGCTTTGTCTGAAGGCCACAGAACTGAAACTTTTTTGCCTTTCTTCACATCCTTTTCTAGAAGAAATGCGCAATGAGTTCCAAACTCTCTCTTTACTATGCCTGTACACTTTTATTGCTACATTCACTTTCACTGGCTGGAACTTTGCTCATTTCACCAGAAGACACTCCTTGTTTTCAGTGGGTTCCAGAACAACCTTCCTTCCTTTGTTTTGCTTTCAGAAAAGGTCTCTATTGCTTGTGCCTGTGTGACTGCCTGGAGTGCTGAGACAGGTGGCAAGTGGGTCAGACAGATGGGGAGTATGGAAAGTGCTAATTGTCCACCCAAAGTCCCACAACAGAGCTGTCCATGCCACTTGTTAAATAGAAATGATACTCTGCTTAATATATACCTGATATTCCAGACTTTCAGGAACAGTGCTCCTTCCTAAGAATGCAATTTCCTTCCTATTATTGAGTTTTATTCTATTTAATCCCATCTATTCTAGTCAAGTTACTTCATTGTGATTGCCTCTCAAGTGTTGATTAAACCAATGGTATTATTCTGAGGTGTGACCATTGCTTGCCATACAATGAAGTAGCTTGGCACTATTAACTGAGTAGTTACTTTACCTAAATACCATTTCAAAAAGGAATACAGTTCCTGGCAATGAAAATAACCTGAAATAAAGTCAATGCTTGAGGGAGAGTTATATAGTACCTGGCTATGTGAACTCAGACTGCCCTTGTCCCGTTTTAGCATTATGAAATCCAAGTTAAGTAGACTATCTCTCCATAAAAGCTCTGACTGATAATTTAATAATCTCTGTGAAACATCTACTAGAGAAAGAAAAGGCATAATGATTTTTTAAAACATTATCCAAAAATCAAGCTGTGATGCAGCAGTTTGCAAGGGTGCCCCACTGGTTTTGATGACTTCAGACCTGCCCCAATAGCTAAACTTTATGACCATAAGGGTGAGGATGAACTTTGACTATGACCTAGATCTGCAATTCACAAGTGTTTTCATACAGCTGCAATAATATTCCAGAAAATGTAATTGGCCTTTTACTTCATTCACTTTTGCAAATGAAAATAAAGCTACTGTGAGAGCAGATCTTTTGCTAAGAAAATATTTTTTTTAATATTTTTATAGCTCTGTCAACAATAAAGGAGTCTCACAGTCTAAAGTCTTTCTCTAAACCTTTTTAATGGAAAAAACTTCATAGAAAATATCCTTTTACTTTTTTAATAACATATAACTATATACATGATTAAAAACTGTAACAAAAAGCTGCAGGGACTGGAAGAATGTTTTGTTGGATCCATGCAGATGGTACATCTAAAAAAGGATTTCACAAATCCATGTACATCAAATGGAGCTGCAGTGACAGGGTTGAAAAAAATGGCAACTCTATATTATTTACCTGAATGTATTGGGAATAAAGCACAGACATACAAAATACATGAAAAGAATACAAAAGAGTACATGGTGTAAATGCTGTAAGCACAGGAAGTTTCTTTTTTAAGCAAATAGGAGAAAAGAAGTAAAATCTCCTTTTTCACATTTTATATTGCAGTTTAAAAGGTTACTAATCTCTTACTTGCTGAATTTTGTTTTTTCTTCACTCTGACATACTCTACAGTAGAAGTATATGGCATTGGTATTTAACAACTCAGGAATACTTTGATTTATCTCCATATCTGTGAATGTACTGTCAGTTCTCAATAATGACATATAGACATATTGCTTAAAAACACACACAGTTTGACATGAGTTACAAAATGTTGAGGGCCACCACATTACAAAGTGCTGGAGACTCTTGTCCTGATCCAGCAGTGTGTTGAAGGACACATACAACTTCAAATCTAAGAGGAACTCCTCAGAGACTAAAGGAAGTTAAGAACATGCAGAAGTTAGTTTCTGATCAGGGCTGGAGTTTGAACAGTTCATAGCACAGACTCTGCAGCTAGGAAAACTTACACCTGAGGCTGTAATTCTGTCCTTACACCTCAGATTGTGTAGCTACACTGTGTGGATTATTTATTGTACTTCTAAAATAGATTTTATTAATTCTAAGTTAAAACATAAATGAAACCTCTTTAAAAGAATGTGGGGAATTGATGAGCTCTTCAGCTGAAAAAAGAAAGAGATAGTGTTTAGTTTGTCAGTGATAGATTTGAAGAGACTTTTGTAGGCAGCAGGTAATAATGTGACAGGCTGTAAACACCTCAATTCTGTAAGAACTTGCTTATATTTTTGTCCTGGGTCAAAAAAACCCAAATAATTGAAAGTTCAGTACCAGCCAGTAACATCATCTGTGGTGCACAAGCATGGTGAGGATGGCAAGACATCATTTAGTAAAAGCTGTAACAAGTACTTAATGATTCCCAATGTAATCACAGGCAATTTAATAGCAGACAAATAAATGGAGCCTGTTTAAAAAAGAAAAAAAGGTGAAAGCAACAACAGTAACAACAACAACAAAACTAGACAAGCAGTGAAAGCTAAAATATTCTGTGAAGCCTTGGAATCTGTTCCTGTTCTCGTTAACACCCACCCACCCTGTCTGGCCTTGCTCTTTTGGCAGGCAGGTAAATCCCTTCAAGTTCCTGTGAGTGAAGGAGGACTTTTTGCTTATAGCAAGACATAAAGTAATTACGAAAATAAGCTTTGAAATCCAAATTGCTGTGAGCCATGAAAGCCAAATTTCACTGATAAGTATTTGGCTTTCATTGGCCACGCAGCAGATTGATTCCCTCCCCAGTCTGACCTCTTTCTGTGGGCGTGCTAATTGGAAAGTTGCCACTATGCCAGGTTTGAGGCCATTACCATTCAGAGTCTTTTATTTTTTAAGAACATCAATGACACTTGTTTGCGTTGTTCATTGCTAGTGTTCTGGGTAAAATCTGGGTTGTAGAGCCCTGGTTGAAACTACAATGTCAGTACAAGGCAGGTCTGTTTGAGAAGGCAACCTGAAAGCAGTAAGACTTATTTTGTTTATTTAAGGAAGAGATAAATGTGTGTGTGCATGCATTTGCATTTAACAGTTTTATAGCTGGAACCATTATTAAATGATGCCCAGTAGCAATTTTATCTCGTTAAGATTTGTTTTATAAAGATGTAACGATTCTCAGGAGAGTTTTATGAAAACATGCAAAGTTGGTTTGCATTACGTACTCAGTTATGTGCCCAGTATATATGTTGCAACTTAATTTCTTAAATATATATTGTGTAACACTTTTTATTCCTGAGTGCTGGTCTCCATAAGGAATAGAGAAGGTGGCATCATGTGCTCTTCTGCACAACACGGTCCTCTGTAATTTTAGGAGTTCTTCTGAGGGATCTTTATTGTCACAGTTTTAACTTCAGAATATTCTCTCAATCCACATTCACCCCTAAAGAACAAAATGCAGCATCAGTTTATACCAGGTATTGTTTATCAAGAAAAAATCTGCAAAGTGATTTCTTGATAAAGTTAAGATACAACTCAGAACTGCAGTTCAGTTTAGGTCAGATCAATGGATGGCTTCAGAATCTGATAAGGAGATACAGAATATTAAACCCAGAAATACTCACTGTCTGTTGATGGAGCTGTTGGGAATAATTTGATGTCCTTTGTCCTTCCTAGACCTTGAAAAAGTCCAAATACTAAGACCTACCCCACTGGCCAGTGAAATTACTGTTTATATTGCATTCAAGAAAGGGAAGGTCTGCACTGAGCATAATGAAGAATTAACTACTCAGATGAACTTGACTCCTAACCCGCTGATCTTTTCTCCCTAGCAACACATCCAGCAGTAGAAATCATCTTTGCACATAATGTGGAAGAGGGTTCAGCTTGCTCAGATTCCCTTCTACAATTCTCTGTGGAATTCCTCGTTTTGTCCTGGCACAGGACCTTACATAAGAACCTCCATACTGCTGGAGACCAGGCACCTCCTAGGTCCCAGTCATCTGACACATGGCTCTGAGGGAGGCACATTCTGCTTTGGATAGATTCTGCTTAAAAAGTGGGTGCTTCTGAATGCTGTTAACATTCTGCTTCAGTCAGCTGCAGCCTAGCTCATCTCTTTGGCCTCTGTGCTGAGGTTTAGAGTGGGTGTTGCCTGGCTTTGTGGGACTTGCACTTGTCTTCTCTGAAGTACAGGTATTTCTATTTTCCTGTGCCTATTTTGAGTAATGGAGAAGTCTCTTTATGTCATTAGTGAAGTTTGTCTTTCCAGATGCTGTGTGTGTAAAGCAAACACTGTCCCCACCTCAAAACAGGTACAGTCCCAATCTAGAAGTAGAATAATACCTCTTCCATATTAAGTCAATGAGGATTTTCTTTTTCAGGAGCTCTTACAGACATTTGTTTCTTGGTTGAATTTTTATTCTCACCCCTAAGACACACACAGTATTGCTCTATTACTTATATTAAAATGTAGAACATGTTAGCATGGATATGATGTTAGCATGTTTACTATTTGACACTCCCTCCCCTCTGGATTCTCCTGTGAAGTACTTAATGTCAATTGAACCATAAAGAATATTTCAGAGGAATTCCTTGGAACCTCCTTCTAACAAGTGTTTCAGAATGGAGTGAGTGGCCACTATTTAAGGCAATTAAATCCCTCTGCAGGCCCCCAGTGCTGTGCAACCCATTTTGTATTTACTCCTACACTGCAGATTTTAATGAAAATATAACATTGGGGTGAAACTCCTGTATCCTTCCTTGGAAAGTTAATTCATTTGAGCAGAAATATCAGTATTTACCAGCCCATGTCACTTCATCTGCAGTTTTGAAAGCTGATGTGCCTGTTGGCTTGGGAAGCCTTATACGTGATATAGTGGTCAGTGTTTAAGGGATACAGCAGACTGATGATTCGGTAGGAAGTCTTAAGATTTACCAGACTCTAAGTACCTGCAAGCAAATATTAGTGAAGATTTTTTACATGTGAAAGGTTCCCATTGAGCTGAACCACGCCAGTCCCACCTTTCAGTAGAAAGTGGTGGATTTGTCTCCAAAGAATGACCAAAAACTTCAGCTGTTTATCAGCATTCCCTTAGGGCTCAGTGGAAGCTGTCACCAGGAGCTGCCTGGAGCCCAATAAGTAATGCTAGTGAGTGTCTGTGTGGAAGATTCTGGATTCAGCAGGGCTGCTGTGTAGCTCCAGACACCCATTGGACACATTTTTGCAAGCCAACAGATAACCCAGCTGACAGCAGCAAGTGACTTTATGTACATTCCAAATGCTACTTATCTCTCATCTTGTTCTGCCACACAAAATTAGAGACAATTATTGTCTGTTTCGTCAGCTCATGGCTTCAGGACTTTACATGGGTTTTTTTTCTGGTCAGTTTGGAAAAGGAGAATTGTGATGAATTCTAAGGCAAATATTTTTCAAAAGTTGAAAAGCTACACTTGCTCAATAGGAAGATGGGTTATGCCAGACATTCAGAGCAGAAGAGTCGGTGTGTGTTTAGCTAAAGGGCTCGATTGTCCCCACAGCCTAATACAGAGAGCAAAACCATCCTGTTCCATGGCCACTCTGGGTCTTCTGGGATAGCACTTTGGTATCAGAGTGAGAACAAAGGTTGGGTCTGTGAAGAGGAAGGAGCCATGGGTCAGATTTGCATGGTACTGTCCCTTGATTGTGTAGGTGTGAGGGAGGGGGAACAAAATGCTTTTTAAGAATAAATATTAAATATACTCTTCCCTCCCTCAGTCCAGGAGAAAAAAAGATAAGGGAATTAGAACTCCAAGCTGTTCCTCTGCTTGCACTTGTTTTTCAGAATGCAGGTGTGCAGTGCTGTATCTCAGAGCTATCCATACAATAACAATTCCTATGACATTAAAGGAGAGTTCTGAAATAGAATGGCACTTCCTTCCCTTGAAGACATTTGGACAGAGGCCAGAATTTTGGGAAGCTCTAATATAAAATGGCCACATGTGGCTATCTGGGGTGAAACACCCAATTTTTAGTTACAGGAGTTAAATTTTACGTCTCCCAGGTAAGAAGCTTTAAAGAAACATGAATGAAAAAACCCCATGGCTTCTAGACCTCTTCAAGGATACGAGAATATTGAAAGTAGTGTTAATGCAATCAGAAATCACCTGTATTGTGCACTCTACCAGGATGCACATACCCTGCTGCCTTCTGTGGGAGTGTAAAATGAGCATAACAGTTCTCAACTTTGTGTTGATTTTTGCCCATGTGTGATGATAACCTGTGAATTTAAATGCAGGACCAGAACAAGTCCCAGATAATGCAGTGCTGGCACAGGCAGCACAGTGGCCCAGTTATGATCTGGCTGTAACATAGTGTCACCTTAGCAATGACACACTTATGTATAGACACTTTTTTTTTTTTTTCTGTAATTGCCCAACTCAACATTATTTATGCTGTAAAATGTATGCCTTAAAAACAAGAATGTAGGAAACTGGCATTTTAATAAAAAGTATGCAGGTATTAATGCAGGGTGGAGGAGGTGAATTAGAAGGTGATATCTGATCAAAGAGGTTCTGAAAGGAGTAGAATAATTACTCATAGGTAGGCTTTCAGGCATCTTTGTGAGATGGAGATTATTGCCATTCCAAACATTTATTGTTTATGATGAATACTTTCAAAGCTGTAGTGGGAATCAAGTGTGCAATTACCACAGATTTTTCCATGAGAGCTGGGGTGCTGCCTGGGTTTCCCCCCTTTCAAGAGCTCTGCAACATTGATAAGTGAATATTTTGCTTGCAGTTGAACCTCCCTGGAGTGAGTGGGGTCACCCCTGGGTGTCAAGTTACTCATGTGCTCTATCAAGCTTAGTAGTTTTAGAATATTTTCACAATGATAAGAGTTAGATGACCTGACATATTTATGCCAGTGTGAGATCACCTCATAACTCATGAATGTGAATAGTATGAATGTGTTATTCAAAGTACTCCCTAACGAGGGAAAATACTTCAGACTACATAAAGCTTATTTTATAGATCAAGTTGTATACTTCAACATATTTAAAGTTTTAAAGAGTTTGACCTTACTTTAGTTTTACTGCTGAGTTTGCCATTAGCCATAAGCTATTTTGAAAACTTAGGTGAGATATATCTGGTACACATACCTCCTGCACAGAAATTAATTGAATCCTTGGTATGTAACCAATCTGGGGGTGATGCAATTGCTAAACTTCCTTGTGATTGTAATGAGAAACTGGTAAGACTTTAAATTAGGTACACGGGACAATATTTGAGTGTGGAGCTCCATTTCAAAATATTTGGCACTTATTGCTAAATGGAATGACAGAAAGCTTTATAATGGCAAGTGGATTTTTTTCAGATATGTAAACACATTTGTTTACTTCTCTTTGCCTGATTTCATTTTTTAAAAATCTGCAAGCTGATAACTTTTTTATAAAATTCAAATGCACCTATATTAATAAATATAGTGAAAACTGAAGAAAGGAAAGGAAAAACTACCAAGGGAGGCACAATACATGGCAAAAAACTCTGAAACAATACACCAAATCAAAAAGCACTCAGCAGCACGAAAGAGAGAGTCTTTCTGAACAGTGATGCTTGATATGGGTAAAAAAACCTTCAAGAAATCACAGGTTACAAGTCCAGAAATATACTCAGAAATTTTCAGTTCCTTTCAGGATAAGAAGAGAATTCCAATAAGTTAGTTTGCAATGTTAATTAAAAAAAAAAAAAAAAAAAAAAAAACCAACAAAAAAAAAAAAAAACCCAAAAAAGTCTTACAATGCAAATCAATTGCATTTAGAACTGATAATCATGATTAAAGGTCACCTTATATTATGCCCCAATTCTCAGGTTGGAATACTTCTGGATCTTAATTTTCATGGAAGCATTCACTAATGTTTATTAAGTTGTAGAGTTGAAAACAATTTAGAAAACAACAGTGCAATACTTACATCTCTCTCCCATTGCCAGACATTTTGAATCCTCCAAAAGGACTTTGGGCATTTAAGGCATTGTAGCAATTTATCCTGCAACAGGAAGAGGCATTAAGTCCAGCTGCACTGCCAGAAAGACCTTTGGATAACTCAGACAGAGGCTGAAACTTGTGGAGCTAAGGACACTCTCTACCTCTTAGTAATAACAAACTTGTTTCATGTTGAAAAGAAATGAGGGACTTATGCTACAAAAACAACAGTCTGCTTCTCACTCCTAAGGAGAATTGGATTTGACCTGTGAAGGCAGGAGGAGAGCACCATACCCTTGGACACATCTTCAGGAATGAACTGTTAATCTGCTGCCAAACCTCAGTGCCAGTTTATAACAAAGAGCTGTTAGATTTGAGTTTGCCCTTTTCCTCCCTGATTTCTTGCAGATCTTTATTCAGGTTTCACATACTAAATTGCAAGCTACTAAACTCCAGAGTTGGCATTCCCCATTCCTAAAGACTGGAGAGGAGGTGTCCCCTCAGTTCCTTAATGTTGTAGAAAGTAGGTAATCCCTTGTGCCTTTAGTAAACCCTCCCAGGTTTCCTGTGCTGCCCAGAAAGGATCATTTACCCTGGCTGTTCTCAGTAAGGCTGCTCAGCAGGGGCTGCCGTGTTCCTGGGAAGCAAGGTGCTTTCCAGCTCCAGCAGCATTCCCCAGCACTGAACAGCCACAGAACCTCCCCACTGCTGTCCATGGCTTGGCCAGTGATCCACCACTAGGATGGGCTGCATGAGTATTCTTAACAAAGGGTCCAAAACTGCAGTGAAATGATGATAGTGAGTCAAACTCTTTTATCTTCAAGAGCGGGAGTGGGGTAACTTCTGCTTACCAGACTGTCCCAGCCTGCATTGCTGAAGAGACTGTCAGGGCCTTGTTTATGTCATTTGTAAAGACAGCAGCTACCAGCCCAAAATCAGAATTGTTGGCTCTCTCTATAACTTCATCCATGGTTTTAAATCTCAGTATTTCTTGAACAGGCCCAAAAATCTGCAACAAAGATTAATAATTAATAAACTACCCCCCTCAGAGGCATTTTATTCTTGTTTTATTCTGCTTCCTTAATTATCTTCTCTGTCCTATTATACTCTTTAAAATTTCCCACAGCAAAATTTACTGATAAATAGTGATAATATCTGTCTGTAAAACTGCATGAATTTTCCAAAGCAGCTGCCTCAGGGGAACTTGTCCATTCTACCCGTATCTCCTCTTTGACATCTGAGACCTTACAGTCAGTGACAAAAATTGAGCTTCCTTACCCGCTGATGTCACTTGCTGTGTGCATAAGGAGTTCTGAAACGATTTTTTTTAATATGGTCATAATTTTCACTCTCAAGTTTTTGTCTTAGGAATTAAACAAAAGGAAAAAAGCAATATTTAGGACATTTTAAAAAGATCTTGCCCACACATGTGAATACCTCCTCCTTGGCAATCCGCATGTCATCTGTTACATTGGAAAACACTGTAGGTTCAATGAAGAATCCCTTTCTTCCCAGCCCCTTTCCCCCACATTCAAGTTTTGCTCCTTCAGTGATGCCACTTTGAATCAGTTCCAAGATCTTGTTGTATTGTTTTTTATCAATCTGAAAGAGAGAAAAAGCTGTTTGATGTGCAGACCATGTACTTGACAACCAAGTCCAAATAGGTGTTTTTAGACAAGTCAGGCTCCAGTGAATTGGTTCCTGCTTCCATTCACCGCTCTTTGAGCTGCAGATGACAGAGATGTACAAGCAGGTGCTGACTGTGACCTCAGGCTCAGACTTCTTAAGATGTGTCACTTTATGTTTGTGGCTTAACCCATGCTCTTGCTAAACAATCTAGTTTACAAGCACAAAAAAACCAAATCATTAGGTTTTGCCCCAGATTAACTTCCTGAAAATGTTATAAACCCAGCTGGTTATTAGTGCAGGAACATTTTCTAAAGACTTATTTCTGATTATGCTCATCTTCTGCTTAGAATTTCCAAGTACAGATATCCAAGTACAGTTATGGTTGTAGATAGTTCTTGACAGAGACTTTTAAGAGCTTCTCACTTTACAGCTGTATTTTGGGGGCTAAAGATCCAAATCCTGCTCTTAAAACTGGGAGGCAAACATTGCTATTTAAACTGGGATTTTTTTTTTAAATTTATTTAACAAGAAACACCTCAGAGGTGCACAGCCTATTTACTCCTTTAGAATTTTAATATTGAAATCATGTATCATGTCAGCTACCCTGGACCTTGAGTGAGTGTTCACTGGCTGACCTCTGCCTTAGTGGAGTTTAAGTACTTCCAGGCATGTCCTGGGCTGTAGAGCCCTAATCCTTTACCTGTGGACCTTGTTCTGTAGTTGGGTCAAAAGGACTGCCCACAACTCTCCTCTTTGCACGTTCTACACTTCTTCTGACAAACTCTTCATAGATCGATTCTTCCACGTAAATCCGTGAGCCTGCAGTGCAGCATTGACCTTGATTGAAGAAGACTCCTTGGTGAGCTTGTTCCACAGCATAGTCCACTGAAAAACAAGACAGCACATGTTGCACTGGAACACTGTGGGCAAATCTGCCTTTGCACCAGTGCTGTGTGTATTTATTACACAGTGCCACATTCCTGAAACTTCAGTAGTAGTATTTGGTTAAATAAAACTAAATCAAGATATCCTGTAGTGGTGTCAGGTGAGAAATGAGGATGACTCCCACTGGAAAAGCTAAGACAGTGCCTTAGCAGTCAATAGGAGTAAGGTATGCAAGAACAACTTCACCAATGACTTATATCCAGCAACATGTCATTTACCAAGTAAAACCTCAGAGGTAACCTCAGAAGGGAACCTCAGAAGCAGGATGTGCCCATCATAAATACATCTGACTGGGTCACTATAGGAGAAGAAAATTTGTCTGTGATCCTAAGTTGGCAATGGGTTATTAATACTTCATGTGGGAGAATTACAGCAAAACAAATACATGGGTAAATTTGACTTTGATAATGGCAAGACCTGTCCTTTGATAATGGCAAGACCCATCCTTCCCAAAAAGCCAGATTCTTTTTCTGTAACATAGAAATTTCCTTTTGGCCCACGCAGGTGACTGGGTAAGGCCTTAAAATTATAGGTCTGTTATAGAACAATCAACCCTTGATTTCTACTCTAACTTCCTTGGAGGTACAGCTAACACATTCTGTCCTAGCAGGAGAGAGGATCTGGTCATATTCAGACATTCAAGGCCACATTCTTACTTTGGGTGTAATAACTGACTAGACAAGAAGAATGAATTAATCCCTGAACAGTGATGCCCTACAGCACTGTAATACCTCTGTTACCAGTTGTAGCACTTTGGAACATTGCTTAAAGTATAATCTTTTATGGACTAAACAAAGCAACAGTGCTTTACTTTCAGCACACTCTAGACAACTCTGTCTAACAGAAAAGTCTTTTTATGCCCTCAGTGTGGTCTTAAGAAAAATTATATGGGGTGTTCCCTGGACCACATTTAAATTTTCCCTGGCAGCTCCATGGAGATTGAAAGCACTAGTGGATAGCTGTGATTAACTAATGTTTCTTCTCTATTGTTAGCAGTTTTTCACCATGAGGGGCTCTAACAATTCTCCGTTTTTTTGGTGCACTAAACCTTCAAGAGCTTTATCATGCTTTCTGCTAACTTTTGGCACACAGTGTTCCTCAAGCAGAACAAACAATTCCTTTGGAATGGTGAGCCAGTTGCTGTTTTTAAATAATCAGAGCTTTGAAGTTTAAATCTTAGGCCAAGTACTGGAGGTTTTAATTGTGGGAAGACCAGACAGCAGCTGTCCTTCCCCCATGGAAGGTCATAACACAGACCTGCCCTGGCACATGTCACTCTACTAGAAATGTTTAGGTGTTCAAGTGTGAGCTAGCAGGTGAGGGATATTTGAGGTGTGGTGATACCTGGTGGGAGGTGGAGATGAGTAACTGGGGTAGAAGGCTGGAATATCTGTGTCTGGCTCCAGCTGACAAGAGCTTTTTTAGCTTACCAGGATGACTGGCTGAAATTTCAATCCTTGACATGGTAAAAGAATTTCTTTGTAGAAAAACTGCTGGAAGTTGTCAAGCTTTCCCTAGTTTTTCAGCTATTGATACGTTTTGAAAATGGATACAGGATTGTAACCATCTCTTGTAATTGTTGCAATTCAAAATCATTCTATTCACTTCCCCCTTTTAAATGAGAAGACCAAATCCTTATGTCTATTTACTGGGGTTGCAATGTTCTCAGAAAGGGCATTGAGTATAGTGTGCCTGCACCCAGCCTGAAACAAGAGCTCAGAGCAAGGTGTGAACCATCTCATTCATCTTAGCGGGTGTTAACTTCAAAACCTCCTGCTGACAATTTAGATTTCAACATTGTAACTATTTCATTGCTGATCATTTAAGCAGAAACTTCCAGTTTGTGTTTATATCCTAAGCTAAACAGCTGTCCTGTACCTTCTCAGGTGCCAGAAATCTCAGCTGCACAACATCATACATCTGCCAAAATGTTCAGCTCCCTGCAGACAGTGGCAGTGAGGATATTTCAATACACAATTCTTTAGTTATGAAAATTTTAAAAATGGAATCATCTCCCTTTACAGCTACTTAACAAAGGAATACTGCACTGACTAAGTTAACAAGTCACGTGTACATAAAAGTTGTCCCTTTTTATAATTGCTTTGAACTAAAAAAATCACAGAATTTCCAGATTTAAAGCACTAAATCACCTTGCTGCAGAGCATAAGATGGCAAATGTGTGCGGGACTAACTGTGAAAAACACCATGTCTATATGCTTGGTTATAAACTTTTTTCTGCTCTCTGGTTGACCATGAATGTGTGGGTTTAAAAGTTGTATTTTATGAAAGATAGCACATCTTTGATCACTTCTGTAGGATTGAAAAGTGCCATTAGATACAGCTGTATTGCTTCACTTCACCTTATATGAAAGATGTGCCCTAAAAATAGTTTTAAAAAAATGAAAAAGACATCATGCAATCATGTTTTTAGCAAAAATATGGAAGTGCTGACTTACAATCAGCATCTGCGAAAATAATGTTTGGGCTTTTCCCACCCAGCTCCAGTGTAACTCTCTTCAAATTACTCCTTCCAGCTGCTTCTTGGATCAGCTTCCCAACCTGAAAGGAAATGGAGACACATTTTACAGGGAATGTAGTCATACAGTTCATTTTAACAGCCAGGGCTGGCTATCAGTAGAGCAGAGCTTTAAATAATCCAGCAGGTTCTTCGTTCCAAACATATTCTCATCAGTAGTGGACGCTTTTTTTTTTTTTTTTTTTTTTTTTTTTTTTTTTCCTAGAAATTGAGAGGGGATAAGGCACAGCACTAAGTCTGTATACCATTCACCCCTATGCAGCTATGCTAAAATGGCTTGGGGCTTTCTTTTAGGGCATTTAGGAGGGCTGAATTAGAAATTTGAAATGGATGTGACTTCAATTACTTCCATCCAAACCACTGACATGTTCACAAGGCTTAATACATCAAATTCTGATGAAATCATCTTCCTCCTCTGCAGGATTAACAGCACAGAGCCGAATACCAAGAAGTTACAAAAGCACCATCCCAGACCTGACCCACAGCTGCACCACAGATAATCTTAATAAGGGTTGAGGAGGTCAAAATCACCTCCAAAATGTCTTTGTAGATTGTGTGGTCAGCTGGAGCAGCCACAAATTGCAGATCTCACCAATGAACATGAGCGTAGATTAAATGAAGTAGCAATCTGACAGCTACAGATCTGATGTGCTTCCACATCAGTACAGTTGGAGGGGTAGCTGTGCTCCCTGGAAATTCTCCTCTCCCTGGATCAACAAATCCAAAATAGATCAGCTTTTGTATGGTTGTGGTATAACTGTGACTATTTTGCAGCAAAGGAAGTAATCACAGGTAGATTTAGACTCTTACATGGTAAAACACAGGACTAAAAGTACCTATTGAATATTGAGGAGCCTAAGAACTTTGGTAAGTGCTTTATTTTAACTGGGACATGTTTTAATGTCACATAGAAAGTTAGAGGTGAAGTGAGATGCGAGCGAGTCCAGAGCTGGGCTTTTTTTCTCCATGTAGTACTCTGGTCTCTCTGTTTTCTATTTCTAAGGTTATGTGAGTGAGATTCCCTGCAGCAAGGGGTTAATGGATGAGAAGCTGAAACTCTTAGAGAATTGAAGGCAGTCTGCTAGAGAAAGTTATGTCAGCACTGGAGTAATCAGAAAGCAAATGAAACAGAAACCAGGGCCCCCAAAGGAAAAAAAAAAAAACAAAAAAAAAAAACAAAAAAACCAAAGGAAAAACCAGAAAAGATAATGAAGGAATTGTGAACCACTTCATGTACCTTTGTGATTAACTGTTTATCTGGTGATACCACAGTTGAGTGTGACTGAGGTTTTTTCCTTTAAAAAAAAAAAAAAAAGAAAAAGCTTTTTTTCTATACCCCTATATTGATGGAATGGAGTGTTGACATTATCATGAAATTCCTTGCATATCCCCTTAATTGGAGCTGATTTTATTGCTATGTTTGACTGACAGCCAGAAGTGAACCTGAAAAAAAAGAATCCTTTTTGCCTTCCACCCCCACCACATACATCGAGCACGTCATCTGGAAATTCCAGCCTCTCAAACTGTGCTGAAAATGTACACTGGAAACCAGAGTTCTGTGTTTATAGCCCGTGCCAGCCAATGCCATTCACACTCTCACTGCCTTGAACTTCCCTCTCTCAAAGAACAACAACCAGGTATTTCCCCTCAAAAATTCACAAAGAGCAGGACAGGCCAAGAAAACCAGAGCAATGTGTCCAGCCCTCATCTCTCTGCTTTACTTACATGCAAGTAAAGACTTTGAAAGGATTCCATGCAAACAAGTAATTGACAAGTATGCAAGTATAGTATATGGTAAATATTCAAGTCCAAAGGGCTTTGAGACAGTGGTGTTATTTTGGAAGAGTGTAATCTGAGGTATTTTTAATACGGAGAAGTTGTCAAGTTTCCCAGTAAAAACTTAATAGAAGGCTTCACTGTGTCTTTCCTGTTAGAGATCAGTGTAGACATCAGGATGGTGGGGCTCACGCTGCTCAGCATTTTTGTTCACTGTGCTCCCGTTGTGCCCTGTGCACTTACAAGTTGAGAAAAGTCTCAGGGAAGGCACCAGCACCGTGGTTATTTAGTGACAAAGGCGGCCTTTTGTGACTGGCCCTCTCTTTATGGAGGAAGACAGCCTGAAAGGGATAAGTGATAGTGTTGCAATCTGCCTGGGCTTTCAGGACACGCTTCCCGCGGAGTCTCAGCTCGATCCCCGAGCTCCCAATAGGCAGCACAGCCCGGAGAGGGAACGCTGGAAGAGAGGACTCCCCCACAGATAATGGAGCTGTGTGATTATTCAGCAGGAATGTTGGCAGAGAAAGCCCTGACTCCCCAGCCTTGTTTTGAATAGGCTTCAAGATTGATATCATGAGTATCCCCGGATAGCTTGTGAAGTACCATAACCTTGTAAGCTGCATGGAGGGTGAGGCAGATGTAATTTGGTCCATCTCAAAGAAAACAATTTGTTATGCAGACCAACAAAAACAAAGATTAGAAAAATAGTTTGGGGCACTCCTGTGCAACAAAGCTATTTGAAGGATAGTCCTGGAAGGGTCTGTTTCTGGACTGTCTATGGTGTGACAGTGGGCAGTGAGAATGTATCATGATCTAAGACATTTTATTGTTTATTTATGCCTTCTCTGTATGGCAGTTTAATGTCTCCTTCAAGAGGAGGCTTAAGCAGTCACATTTTAAATACTTTGTGCAGAAATTTAAAAATGTTTGCTGCCTTTCATGTTCACTTAATTTTCTGTTTTCAGACAGCAAACTGTATTTCTAAAGGGTACAGTGGGTTTGCCTGTTACTGTTGGAGCACTCAAAGTCTCATGAGTCAAAAGCAAACCTCCAAGGTTTGTGCTATTCTGTCATTCAGAATATCTGGGTTCTCCTTTGAACCTTCCTTTGCTCACAGATAAACAGTGAATCATCAGGAACACCTGAATATAGGGAGCTGCAGTCTAGCTGAACAGCAGGTCATTTTCTTAACACAGCCACAGACAAGACAGTGAAGGGAAGAACTGCACAGAGAGAGGTATGGATTGAAATATTCCATGAACAGTGCAAAATATGACAGTGGAGATACACATCATAGTTAGTTAGGCATTTTAAATAATATCCTTTCTTGGGATATTGAGAGAATATCGGTAGGACAGTAAGTGGTTTAAGTTACAACAGATTAATTAAGTTTTGTGGAGATGACGTGGCCAGACAGAAATTTTCAATGTTTTCTGGAAGTACAGTTTTCTCTCTCCAGCTATTGAGACACTGGATGTCGTTGTTTTGGCAAAACCCTCAAACCATGCTGCTGCTCACTCAGTTTGCCTTATTTTTTATTAATTCCAGATTATATGCAAAATCTTTCTGGCAAGCATTTTAGAACCTCCTGGCATGTTCAGGGTGTGTCTCCTGCAATGACAAGCGAATTTGGAATACTGGCACAAAGAAGAGCAGGTTTATTTGACTGTGCAATGCCCTGTGTGAGGAGCAGCCCTGAAAAGAGCATACTGAATAGTGCAGCACAAGTGAAAAGGCAATCCTAAACACAAATTCCTGGAGAGAATCCTAAACTACAAATGGCTCATTTGTTCCATAGGTTAAATCCTGGCCCCATGGAAGTCTGTGGCTAAACTCCTGTTGATAGGACTGACACACCATCCTATTTGTACTGGGTTTAAGAAGGTGATTCCTTTTCACATGCATCTTTTGTAGGCAAAAAGGCACAACTGTTGCCCAGGAACAGCTTCCCAAATGCTACCAAAAACATGAAGGAAGGAGAAGGGAAACAACTTCTCATTCAGGAGGCACGAGCTGTCCAAGATAGGATCCAAAAGATTCCACAGGAGCAGGAATGAATGCTAATGTAGCCTCCCTAAATCCTTACACAGGGCATGTGTGTAGAACCATAACTCACAGACTTCTCAGAACAGGTCAGATCACCTTTAGGATTCTTTTTGCTGCAGTAGAAAATGCCAGGTTGCAATTCTTCTTGAAGCCTAAAAGCAGCAAGAGAATGTGTGATCCAGAAGAACTCACACAAGCCATTGCCTGTGCAGTAGGAAGACATTCTATGAAGCCTAAAAGCAGCACGAGAATGTGTGATCCAGAACTCACACAAGCCATTGCCTGTGCAGTAGGAAGACATTCTGTCTACATCATGCATTGGGACATTCATCTCACTTTGGAAATGAAAGGAGAATCCTGCTGAGTAAATTAGAATCAGTGGTAATACAGCTGTTAGCTACAAACATTTGTTTGGCATGAATCAATCTCAACTCTCCCGTAGTTTGCTTTGATGGTCTCTCTAGTATCTTGTTGACTAATGATGAGATCATGGTTTGTTAATCTAAGTGCATAAAGAAAACATTCTGCCAAGCAAAATGCAGACTCTTTTGCTGGGGTTTATTGCAGTTGTTTATAGACCTTTTGTTTACACAGGCATCCAAACCAATTTGTTGGATATTTATTTGGGTTACTCTACAGAGCTGCCTGAACACAGACCTGAATCCTATCTTAAATCTGTCTGCATTTTAATGGGTCGTAGTTTGAACAAAGTGGAAACCAGCCACTTAGGATACATTTCTTGTTGGCCAGAACTTCAAATGTTTTCTGTGCTATCTATAATTCTCATCTTGAGAGCATTTAACAACTGGAGGGAGTTGTAGCCAGTCTGATTTGGAGGTTACACATTTGGTTTTAAACAGAAGTTATTAGAACTCATTAAACTTTTGCAACAATCAAAATACAATTTTTATCCCAGGCAGGGCTTTAAATCTGCATTCTAAAATATTTATAACTTCTTACTCTCCATAATCATCTCCAATTTTAAACCCAGAACATACTGCCCTCAACTTCTCCCTGTGTACCAGGAACTTCTGGTTACACCATCCCCACACGAATTCCAGTTCAGGTGGAGCACACAGGTAGTGACTTGGGCAGACAGCTCACAGCAGGAAAATGGCTGTATTTGCAAACCCTTAGCTGAGCTCACAGATCTGAATGGAAATAAAGGCAAATTAAGAGCAAACCAGCTTCTGATGGCTGCTTTTCTCTGATATTTGAAGGCCTTTCACATCTTTGGCATAGCAAGCATTCTTTCAAAGAATAAAAAAGTAATCTGAAGAAACTCTTTGCATTTCTGGTATGTGTAAAAATTGTCCCCTCATCAGCATTTGTCTTGGAAGTACATAAAACCCACTGTTATTTCACTGGGCAAGAGACTTGTAGAACATTGTTAGTTCTAATTAAATCATTGCTAATATGTTTTTTTAAGAAACTCAGGCACGAATGTGTGGAACAGTGAGGAAGCTGAGGCAGAGAGGGGCAGTGCAAAAGGTAAAGGCATGTACAGTAAACAACGGGGACGGTGGGACACAGCTGAGCTTTACCCTTCCCATGCTCCCAGTGAGTGGGAGCTCCATCCTGCAGCTCGGGAGCAGAAGGAGCAAGGAGGAATTCAGTAAGATGTAATGCGATATCTACATTGGTTATGGACTTTCAAGGAAAGGTAGGAAAAGGATAGGAGCAACTGTTAACATGGTCATATTGGCTGGAAGAAAGTTTGGTTATGGCAGTTTAAATTTCATCTGATTGTGGAAGATGAGGAAAAAATGTGTCACTGAAGCCTGAGAGGAGATTGCTGTAATTAAGGAGGATTGTGGATTAGCCCTGGTTCACTAAAACCAACACAGTAAAAATAAACATTTTGGTTTAAATGCCTGTACCAAACAGGCTGCTGAAGAGTGAACTGAAGCAAGCAGAGAAGCCAAGAAAGCTACTGGAATCTGAGGAGGCACAGTATTTTAGGTGGGCTTCCATACTCAGTATGATTTTATTTCTTTCAGTGTGACAGTTGTCAGAGTGAAATCCATAGCCTGCCAGGTGTTTGCAGAACCCTTCCCCTTCCAAGTAAGCCGTGGAGGGAAGAGCTTTGAGGAGCTAGGGGATTGGGAGAGGAAGATGATCCATGCGAGAGTGTCTCATAAGGAGCAGATAGGCTGAGGGATGAAAGAGTTGGCAGACTGTTCTTTTAATGTGTGCAAGCTAACCCATAAAAGGAGGGGCAGCAGGAAGGATGGAGAGAAGTGAAATCAAACAGCAGTGGCACCAGAGAAAAAGAGCTCTTTCTGCTTTTTCATGCATTATTTTGTGGGGTGGGGTGGGGGGAAGTAAATAGCAGTATTTTTTTAAAAATTCAGAGCACCTGAGAATCTAAAATCCAGAGAAGAGAGTGCACACTGGATAGCTCTGAACTAGAAATCAGAAGCAGAAGTTGAAAGTTATTTCTGTGTTGTCATTGCGTGGGCATGGGATTGAAGCCTGCCAGTCATCAGGAGTGTCAAGAGGTACTGGACTAATGCACGGGTGACAAGGCCATTGGCACAAAGAATACAAGTGTCCCCATGCACCTCTGGGCTCTGGAAGTGTGTAAGTCATTGATTGTCAGAAGCTGTGAGGCTGCAGCAAGGAAAGGATCACTCTACACATGGATCACTCCTTCTGTGAGCATCTGGAACTGGTCCTGTTGCAAGATAAGGTGTGAGGCTGGAGGGCTCTGTGGTGTGCCTGTGTCAGGCTTTATTGAGGTAAGGTTGTGAACTTGGCCTCTTGGCTTGTATTTCTATGGACTGGGTTCTACAAATACTGGAACACATTAGCATTCTTTTTTTTTTTTTTTTCTGTAGGAGGAGCAGCCTGTTTTCTGCCTTTCAAGAATACTGCAGAAAAAAGATAGTACTAGTCAATTTTCTGATTTTTACAGGCAAACGGAGAGTTTTCATTAGTGTATATTTCAAAGGTAAAGAACTTACAAAAAAGAACCTCATGGTGAAAACTTGAGAAAAACCTGTGCTTTGGAATCTCAATTTGAAGATCGTTGTGTTTGTACTGGTAAGTTTTATCACTAACTTGCCCATCATGAACTGCCTTAACTAGCACATGGATGGAATGGAGGTAACAGTATAACCTAATGGCTATTGGAAATCCCCATCACTGGAGTGTACAGTTGACATGCTTCAGGCAAGTACCAGAGAGACAAAATATTTCCATTATTATTTCACTAGAAATTGAAATCTGCTTTGGAGGAGTCAGAGACTCTAGTCCGGCTGATATCAGAACGTGGTGTTTAAAATGTTACAATGTTGACTTGCTGTTACAAAAATTCAGTGTTACAGGAAATCAGAAACAATATGGAATAGTTTACACTAACTCTGCATTAAAACGATCCATCTGTTCTTGCTTTAGGTTCTTAGAGAATTGCTTTTTCATCTCTGTAATGCTTTTCACTTCCTATTAGTAAGGCTTTTAAAGGTAGGCACTGAGTTAGTATAAAACCCACAGCTTTTGAGTTTAAACGCCTATTAAAACTAAAGCTGTCTGGAACTACAATAAAAATTTATTTTGGCTACAAGAGACAACTTTGAAACCTAACCCATCTGTATTTTTCCTCTTCCAAACAGTGCAACATCCTGTATAATAGAATATTTATCTTAAACAGAGACCACATATCTTTATAAAAACAATTGTTTCAACTTAATTTATGGGGGGTAATCAACTCATATTAAAATTTTCAGTATTCCAGGATGCTAATCTTAATTGGATACAGGAGATGTAATGACTAGAGTAATTCCATAGAATAATCTGAAATCTGATGTGGCCATTGATTTAGAATGTAACCTGTGTATATTAGAATCTGAAGTTGTCATTAAAAAATCACATGCAGGCATATAGTAATTGCAAAACACCTGTGTGTGCAAATTAGGCATAGGACTGCAGCTACGTTTTACTGGTAATTTAGGTTTGTGTGTGACTTGCAAACTCAGTTACAGAATAATTCCACCAGAATAATTTATTTGAAATAATTGAGCCGGTCTCTGCAATCCTTGGGCCCACCAGGGAGATAGCCACACATATCTAGCAGGGCAATGGTCAGTGAATTTATTGATGCAAATCAAAAAGCAAATTGCCTCACTGTGAAGAGCAGTATCCCTGGGATGCATAAAGCCTTCCACTGCCACGAGTGGGAGTCAAACATATCAAAGGGAGACTGGATCCCTGGGGTTTAGCTCCCTCCATACAATAGTTTGTCAGATTCTGAATTGAAAAGGGCTGGGTTTAGCACTCTCTAAATATAACCAGCCCTGAAACTCCCACAGAGATTCCTTTCTGTCTGCCTTCAGACGATGAGATAAGGCCCCTTCTCCTGTGACTTCAGTCTGGAGTACCTCTGTCATCCCCACCCCAGCCCTGATAACAGCCAGCTTGGCACATATTTGAGAGCAAGATGTGATGAGAGTTTTGGGGGTTAGTCTTGCTGTAGATTGCAGCCTTCATCTTCAGAGTGAGCCTCCTCTAACATCTGCAGCATAGACTCCTAGCAAGGCATTTTGGCATCCAGGAGACAACTGTCTCCCTTCATCCTCTGGCCAGCTTCTTTCCATCAGTTTGGGAACTGAAACCTTGGACAATCTCCTTTTCTCCCTGCATTCCTTCCTTTTTAGGCCTCCTCCTCGTCTCAATATACTTGTATGCAGCATCAAAGTTGAAGTATATTTGCACAATTTGCTCCCTTCCTCTCCCTTTTCCCCAAGTACAGCAGGATACACAAATTATGGACGTTAAAGCAGCACTTATGTGTGCTATGATATACACGGGATGTTCTGCCTACTTGCATGTGATTCACATCCTCATAAGCCCACAGGAAATCCCAGTAATATTTTTCCAGGCATATCTCCTGTGCTGAGGTGCTGAGCACAGCAGGGGCTGGAGGAAAGGAGCTGCTTGTGCTTGGGAAGTCCTGTGGTACATAAGTTTAGCTGGGAAGCACAGACCACTGTTATTTAGATGTAGCTCTTTTACCCAGTGGCAGTAAGAAATGCAGCACAAGGACTGAAGTATTTATTCATGTTTTACAGTAATGTGTGAATCCTCTTACCTCAGTGGATCCAGTGAAAGCAATTTTGTCAATGCCAACATGAGAGGCTATGGCTGCACCAACAATTGGACCAAATCCTGGCAAAATATTGACAACTCCTGGTGGAAAGCCAGCCTGTCAAAACAGGAATGAATGAAGGTAAGCATGACTTATGAGAACTGTTAGAGCACGTTAAAGCAGGCATGTGCTGGTGGTTCCCTCCCCACAAGGGAGACAGACATCACTCCCCTCAATTATTCTTACCTCCTTGATGAGGGCACCCATATAGAGAGCACTGAGTGGTGTTTGTTCTGCTGGTTTAATAACTACTGTATTGCCACAGCACAGAGCTGGAGCAATCTTCCATGCAAACATCAGCAGGGGGAAGTTCCACTGTAGGAAAAAAAAAGTTGATAGATGGAAAAATATTGCCCTGGTGTTTTGTTTTCAAGATGTCAAGCTGATACCTCACTTATTTCTCAGGCTGATCCTCAACATAAATCTTTCCCAGCACAAAGCAAGGATTTTTTTTAAATAACTGCCATTAAGAAAAGAACAACAGTGACTTCTTAGTTCTTTCTCTCCTGTTCAAAGAAATACAACCCCCACCTGCAATCTCCATTTAAAAAGTTCTGTTATCTGTTAATTTTTTAAGTCACAACTTTTTTATTTCATTTAGTGTTTTGCTATTGGCACTCTTAATTCCCCCATGATAATAGGTCTTACTTCTGATACATTTGGAAAGAACTGTTTGTTCATGTTGAGGTAGTTTTGGATGTAAATTTTATATCCCTGAATACATCTTAAGATATAAAATTTATACTCAAAATTATATAATCCCTAATTGATGGAATTACAATAAAAAGTCCATAAATGTCAATGTTCAATCAAAGTATTTAATTTTCTTGAAGACTTTTTACTGAGAAATCTATATGGAAGATGTTAAAAGGACAGTAAAAAACAAGTTGAGAAATGCTTTGCTGCTATAAAATTTGGTATTGTCATTCATTATAACTTCACTGAACTGCAGCAGATGACGTAGTGAATTATATTTGTTTGATGCACAAACATGCCTTGGATAAAAATAAAAGTAACAAAGGCCTGATCCTAGCAAGTTAAGTGGATAGTTCTGCTGATTTCAGTGAAAATGTCAGAGTAATAAAATAACTGTGTTTCCACAATCACTCTTACAAATGCATACAACAGTCTCTTTTAGACAGAGAATAGAAAATATCAGTCAGAGTCAGCCACTGGCCAGAACGTGTTGCTGCCTGATGCATATCAGCTGCCACTCTCAGACATCTCTCTAGCCCCTGGCTAGCTTGAAAAAATACACAACTGTCTTTCCTTCACAGAACACCCAATTTTTTACTCCCTCTGTTGTTTATAAACTCCGGAGACAAAGTGATGTTTTAATTCCATCTCCAGTACATAAACCTGGGAGGGGAGCTGTCGGGCCAGCAGTGTGCTAACAGCCTGCACTTCTAATGGCATTGCAAGGAGAGCTCACAGCAGTTTTATAGGGCACTACATAGCCCTGTTTATGCTACAGCACTGCCAAAGAGCATGTTTTGATGGAAGCTGGGATGTGAAAGAGGATGAGGAGTTCAGCGTTAGACTTGCTGTTTAATTTTATTTTTGAATAATGTATTTGCTCAGGCAATGGCCAAGCACATGCAGCAGCCTGGGCTGTCCTCTGGGACTGGTAGCGTGGAGGAAATACAGAACAGATCAGCAGTGGTGTTAGAACAGATGGATATGACAGCCATCTTCAGGCTTTGGAGAACAAAACTAGGGAAGAACAAACATGTATGGTAGATGGCTGGGTACCCTGAACAAAGGTGTACACATCTGAACTAAATAAATCTGCTTTTGGCATGATCCTCAGCCTGTGGCCAAGTTCCTTCAGCAGGTTAAGCTCAGTGAAACAAGCATAAGAGATGTCCAGCAATGCTGGGGTTGTCATTTAGTAAATGCTTATCCATGTGCCTGGCTGAGGAACGGGGACAGAGCTGTGGAATCTTTCATTCATAAGGACCAAGTTGGGAGAGTGTGTAGGTGTTTGCAGGATGGCTGTAGCCACAGACTCCCTGAGTCATTCCATGTTTCTCTGGGTTTCTGCTGAGTGCCAAACGCAAAAGCCACCCCATAACAAAGACATGGAGTAGCAACAAATATAAATAGGGAAAAAGGGCTTAACATTGTTAAAGCAAGCTTTTCTGGCTGCTCCTCTTGTAATGGAATTGCTCCGTGTTTCTGTTTAGCGGCTTTGTGGTGATATGAACAAAATAAAAAATCAACATCAACAAAAAATTTCAGAGAATGGTCTGATTAGTCCCTCAGTGTTTTGTCAAGCAAAAAAGCTTCCACGCAATATTTTAATAGCTGTATGTGAGCCTCCCATTGAAATTTCTGCCAGAGCTGGTTAACTGGTGCTTCTGAAAAAGTTACCCTCTCAGTGCAATTCCCATGCAGTGTTCAGCAAGGTTTTATTATGAGGGTGTCTGCTGGGATGTAGGGGGAGTATTGGATTTGATGAAATGATGTGTTTCTCTCTCCCAACAAATAAAACAAACATTTCATGTCTTCTATTAGCTACACAATGTTAATTGTAATGATATGTCTCCTGGAGTTTCCTTTTCTCCTCCAGCCTTGTAAAAGAAATAGCAGGAAAGAATGGAATTAAAATACATCACATTCTCCCAGGAACTGAGGAGCCTGTTAAATCACAGTAAAAACTAAATAAATAAAGAGACTACCACAGCAAAGCATCAATTTTCCATAAGTTGTGTGAACATCCATAACCACTGACAGCATATTAACACTGTGTTTTGCTTTGCTTGTTTTAATCATGTGAATTCTATGACTTGAGAACTTAACTCCTAATAACAGAGCCTAAACCCTATTAGCATGTTCAAATAAGCATTTGTGGGGAGGCTGTTAAAGATATGTCAACAATATGAGCTCAGCTTTTTTCGTAATGGAAAACACACATAGCTGAAGACCATGTTTTATGTGTCTTTAAAGAGAGCTGGTTCAAATGAAAATAAATAGAAAGCACTAGTAGAGATACTCACAGGGATGATCTGTCCACACACTCCGATGGGTTCATGTCTTGTAAACGTAAAATAATCTCCATCTGAAACAGATGAGTATGCTTACTCTCAAGTGCAGTTTGGCTTGGCAGAACAAAAAAAAAATTAAAATAGAGGGAGGGAAAAAACTCTAAGGATCAGCCTTTGATGGCAGAAAAAGAAATAAAGAAGTCATGGAAGTGTTTTTTTGTGAGCCAGCATGGGAAACCTAGGTTCAGGAGCAATCTAATTGTTCTTTCTGTAGAACAAAGGAAGCAGGCTTCCCATCAGAAAGTAACCTGCTTTGTTCCTTGGCAAAGAACTGTACTGCACATAAAATTGCAGTAGCATGGAAGCACTTACTGGCCTCAGCTGATTTAAGGGTGAGAGAAGTGAAGAGTCACAAAGGCAATTTCCTGAAAGGAATGAGTGGAACACAGCAATATAAAGGTGTATCTGCAACCCAAATGTGGGGTAATAGAGTAACATGCTGCTGACTCATCTGCCATTGAGGACACAGGCAATGTGATGGGATGATGTACCACAATCTCTAGATGTGGCATGAGGAGGGAAAGTTTGTGCCTTGTGTCACTGAGCATCATTTACTTCCTGTGTTCTGGGAGCACATGCTGAGGTTACACATGCAGGTTTGTTCCCAGTTAACAAAGAGCCAGAAAGGGACCTGCTGTGTGGGAACCAGTTAAAGGATCAGTTAAGGTACTGTCTAACCAGTAGCTTTGTTAGCGTGCTCAGCCTGCATCTGTGCAAAGTAGATTTACTGCACCTTTGTACCTCAGTTGAGTCTCGTAGCTGTACAAACTAGCCCAGACTCAAACTATCTCTGAATTTAGGTCAGATGTTTTTCAGTGAGGCTACAGCTGAGGGAAAGGCTTTGCTAAAGGCATGAGCTGAATGTGCCCCTTGGCCCGTAGTGCTTGGTCATCTAGAAAAACGCAAATCTCTTAACTTGGGAAAATAATTTCAGCTAAGTATGTAAGAATGATGAGGTTACCTAGGCTTAATGGCAGGAGATGATTTACCAGGATAAGAAATGGTTAGACAGCGGAAAGGAGTAAGAGGAGGAGGAGAGATTACAGGGGTTTTGCTCCTATTGTTCTGTCTGACACAGGGTATGTGCTTTCCCTCCCAGTCTGGGCTGGGAAGTGGCTGCCCCAGCCTCTCCGCCGTTCAGTCCAGAGCTGCAGCCACCCTTGTGCAATACTGGGGAAGGACCTGACTTCACAATGGACAGTGTGTTTTGGGAACCTGCTGCAATATCCTCTAAGTTATATCTGGTAACAATGAACAGTTAATCCTTAAAGTTTCTTGGGTTTAAGGAAAGACTTCAACTTGAATTTGATTAGAAATAACTTATTGTCAGGTCTGCTTATTTCTATCCATCTACTTTACAGGATTTGCTCAGTAGAAACCTGAGCTGGAGTAGCTAATATGTCAGCTGGGGGCCAGATACAGAATAATTATGAGAAAGTTAACAAGTCTGCAACCAAGACAGGGACAGAACAGTGAAAATAAAGGAGGGAGGGAAAGAGAGAAGAGAGATTCAGGAAAAGGCAGAAGAAAATAGTTTATCAGTTAGTTTGCTCTGCATTGACAAAACATCGTTGTGATGTTTTGATCTCCAGAGGTTTGACAACTCCCCAGTGGAGATGAGAATATTTGTGTCACAGACTAAGATCATCAGTTTGGTTTTCCAGGTTATCTTTCACAGATGCTAGCAGTGGTTCACAGACCATAGGAAGATTCATCAGATCCAACGGAAGCAAAGTAGAAGTCAAAATACAGAGAAGTACATACAAGAAAACTGTCTAAGTGCTCAAGGGAACACAGAGGAGTCAGCTAAAAATACCAGTTTGTACTCAGTAGTACTGTGAGAGGTGGGTTCTCAGCCAGAAGGATGGTGGCAACATAACAGTAACACAGTTACATTAGCACTGTCTGACTTTAGATTGTCACTGCATAATCACTGCCACATGTCTGCGTGCTTCATCACACAGAGTTATAGATAACCTGAACCTCTTGCCAAGGCAGACAAATGGTGGTTAATTCTGCCCAGCGTAGGCAGGACGTTCTTTCCGCAGAGCGGTGCCTCCCATGCAGAGCTGCTCTCCCTGCTGTCTCCCACTAGACTCTAGACAGCTGCCCTTTTTGACACCTACTTCCAAAGTTCATCATCCACAGATTTTCTGTCAAGATGGGATTTTTGAAGTTGCTTTCTAACAATATCTTTGGGAACATATGTGACTTGAAGTTATTCAGATGCCTTGGTTGTCTCTGGACAGGCCAAAGGTGGATCTAAGAGCCACCTTGTCCTTAACGTAGAACAAGCTGTTACCATGACAAAACAGCTCAAGACTTAAATGAGCTTAATTCCATTATTCTAAACAGTGAGCACAGAAAGGTCCCTTTGCTTAGAAATTATACAGGAGACTTTTTAAATGATTGAGGGTTTTAAGTCGTGCTAATGACCCTTATTCTAAGATGCTGTGGCTGATGACTGTTACTCTTATCCTTTCCTAGCTGGCTGCCAGAAGAACTTTGCCTGCGAGAGGGACCTGACACTGATCCCACATCCAATCTGAAATTTTGTGTTAAAAGGGTATTTTTAATATACGCAGCTGAAGTAAACTGACATTCTTCAGTCCTCACTGATATTAATAGAGCAAAATCAATTTGCAGCTGCTTAGCACCTGGCCCAAAGACTTTCATTTTTTAATCAGAAAGCAAGTCCCATTTATCCAGGGATCTCACTTAGGGACAGCAATATCTTCCACAGATGTGTTTGCTTAGATTTCCATCAGGAGTCTCCAGCATGGATATTTTATTTGCATAACAACCATAATACAGTCCCCTGCCTCATATAGCAGGACACAGCAAACAAGCGGGTGAGGAGAGCTGAATTGGTTCTTTAAGCTATATCATAGCATATATTGCTTTAAAGATACATTTCTGCTTGCATTCAGTTTATTAGTTTAACAGTTTCTGGTCTAACCTCATTCTGTTTTAATTTAAATCATCAAGGCTTTACACTTGGGAGCAAGCAAAGGGCAGTCTGAAGGTTTTGTAGCTCTGGGGCCAAAAGGAATGTGACTGTAAAACACACTTCTTCTTCTACTTGTCTATCAATTGCCTATTTTTATTTTAAAGGAAAAGATAACTTCAACAAAAACAGCAACAACAAAAGATTGAGAGGTTTCAGATTTATTAGCACACTGAATAGAAAGACAAGATTTAATAGTGGGGTTTTTTTGGTTTTGTTGTCTTGCTTATCTTTGGTGAGCTGATGGTAAGTGAACATAAAGAGCACTGCTGTTTAACAGTGGCTTTGCCCTAAAATAGCTTCATGAGAATGACAAATTTATGGTGCAAAAGCAGAGGAATAAAGAGAAGTGTTAAATGAAGAATAATTGATCCCTTGAAAATCTGTGAACGGACTTATGATTCTACACTACTGAAAACTGTGTTAGCACAAAGTTTGCACTGAGGAAGGCATGCTGAAAATGTGCCTTCCTTTCACTCAGCATAGTCCACCTTACTGAAAAAAAATCAGGTTTTATCCTATAAGGTACTTGAAACCAAGAATAAGAAGAGAATATTTATTCTCTTTAATCTGGCAGTGCCTTTTGGTGGCTGACCTAATTTCTGTGTACCTGTGGGGCTAAAGAGTGAGAAGGAGGCTTTCACTGACCAGGGAGAAAGAGATTAGGGAACAGGAAATTTGCTGAATACGTGAATTTATGGTGTGGTCTGCACTTTCGTATGATTAAATGTGAAGTGCAAGCAGCAAAACTGGGATTTACGAATCTCAGCCTAAATAACTGTGGAAAACTTTGACTCCTTGCAGAAATGTCCACATTTGAAATATTATTATTGTCATTTGTTTGGTGAAAATAAGATAGTGAAGATAAACACCAGTCAGTGCACGCTGCAATTTTAATAAGATGAAAATGAAGATGAGTAAAACTGCAAGAAGAGTTACATGATGTTTCCCTCCTGAAAATTTTGGAGGCATATTTTCAATTTATCTGCTTGTCTCACTTGGGTAGTTTGGTGCTTTGCTATAGAGAGGCGAGTGAGTGCATTTCACTGTGTCCCACAGTGAAACACAGGGAAACAGCTGGGCAACAGCAACAGGCATTTACCCCTGAGTGTGCCCTCCTGGGTAAGTGGAATAAACATGCAGGAGTGTGCCCTTACTGGGTAAAGTGGAATAAACATGCATGTGCAATGAACATGTGCACCATGAATCCACATAATGAATGTTTGTTTTCCTTAATGTTTTTCCAGTGATTTACTTTATGCAGGTGAAAGATAAGTACACTTATCTTAATGACTGCACCTGCATAAAATCATTTTATTCAATTTTGCCATGTTGTGTAATTATAACACTTGGTACATGTAGTCCAGCCTGCAAATGAATTTGTTTGCATCAGACAATGCAGCCTGTATTTGTTCAACAGCTGGGAGGGAGGGGCAGGAGGAAGAAACTTGTTAAATAAAAATAATGGTAAGGATTTTTTCACATCTATTTAGCAAAAGAATAAGAACATAATTTCCTAGCATGCAAGAAAATTTATCTCATATATACAATATAAAACTCATCCCACTGAATAATTTGAAAAAGCATCTATAACAAAATATATCTCATATGTATGTAATTCTCTATAGTAACAGTAAGAATGTTCTCAAAGTATAAATTAAGTTAGATCCAGTGTTAGTCCAAGCTAAAATTATTTGCATCAGCAGTAAGAAGTCATATACAAACAAGATCTATACATAATGATACTGTTTCTTAAACAGGTACCCAACACTATTTTCATGAGTTCCAAGGTATTTTTCAGGCTTATACCCATTTTTATACATGTATCAATATTTAAATGTAGGTATTGAGCTATCTCCTTCTCAAGTGGATGCATGCAAAAGAAACCAACCTTCCTCACATGCGCATGTGGGGCAGACCAAGAGCAGGGCACCCAGTCCTGCCCTTGCTGACCTTCCAACATCTGCTTCAGCAACACACCACACACTGCAGGAGCAACCCAGGCTCCTGCTCTGCCTTCCACAAAGCTGTGAGCTACTAAGCTTTAGTCTGGCCATGAGAAGGTTTAGGTACATAGCTGTGCTTTAATTCCCCTTACCTACAGGAATGGTCATTCCATGGATTTTGTCTGCCCAGCCAGCATAATACCTCAGGGTTTTTATGACTCCCTGGAGATCGACATAGAAAGCTTGCAAGAACGGTTTGCCGCTGTTCAGTGATTCCATAGTCTGCAGGACAAGAAAAAGTTAAGAGATCTAAGTATTGTAACATTTTTGCACTATTGTACCTAAGTATTCACCATTTTAACAGCTCTTGAACCATGACAAAGATTTTAATGAAGACCAATCAGTTGCACCTTGGTGTAATTTTAACCCAGAAGGATCAGAACAATTCTCTGATCCCCTTTGTCACTTTTTACAAATGTGAACAAAAAGTATTTTCCTTGAAAAACCCAAACTAGTTTCTTCTAGAGTATTCTGGAATGGATGTGATTTTAAGAATATATGTGTATGTTTATGTGTGCTTGTCTGTCCATCTGTCTTGTGGATTTATGTGTGTATCCACATGCATGTACATGTGCCTTTGTGTACTTTGTACCTAATAGCCACTGTGTTTGGTCCAGATCTATAAATGCTGAATTGCTTTAATCAGGAGCCAAGATAAAAATGCCTGTCAAACTGGGTTCTGTTATGTTAATGATAACAGCTGAGAAGGGGCTCCTTGTAGCCCTGTATTAATGATCTGAATCCATAAAGAGAAGAATGGACACATCCCTCTTTATATAATTGATGTGAATATAAAAATTTCTCTATATGGTTGCCAAGACTCCTGCTGAGGTCTGAGATATCTATACTGTACAGCCAGTTTATTTATTGCCATCAAATAAACAAACTTTCCTCTAGGGAAGCTCATAAATTAACAAGCTATCTTTATTTTTTAGTTAATATTCCTATTTTTAAAAGTATCTTATAAGCTGTCCTCTTAGGGGTTCCTAAGATCATTTAGCAAAAAAAATCCAATAAAATATCCTAAGATGTTGAGTAGCTTAACTCATTCTCAATAGCTGTCCAATAGAAACCATTAAGAACGGGCAAAGGACGCCCCTGTGTAACACACCAACCATCAAATGAGTTTCTATAGAGAAGAATGGAAGCTTAATTCTGCACTGACTTATATCCCCAAGAGCAATTAATGGCACTGCCTGCAGTGCAGCTCAGTAAAGAACTTGGCTCCAGAAATAAAAATTAAATGACAGGCAGAGTAAACTTGATTTGCTGTGCACTTCCTTCTCCCCATGGCGATTTTACAGTATCTGCCGGCGGTAAGATGATTTAAGTGTTGACAAAGCTGGAATTAAGATGTTCACGGGCTTAGTTCAAAGCACTTGACATGCGGAAAACAACATTAACAATGCCACCGTTCCGACGGCTTCATCCCCGAGTGCAACGGAGCTGCGCTCGCGATTCGTGTCACCAGCTGAGGGTCCCAAAGCACCTCACTTGCCCTCCCCTTCCCGCCTGCACAGATCATCCCAACCTGCCATTTCTTATTCTAGAAGAGTTACAGGCGTGCCTGGCGGGCACACACGTGTGCACACCCCTACTGTTGTGGGACGTCCAATTTAAAGCTGATCTGAGCCCGCTGGAAGCCTCTTGTTGGCTTTTATGGGTTTTGCACCATGCTGTAAATGGACAGAGCCATTTCAGCCAGGAAGCTGTGTGTGGTTTTCACATACAATTCATATCAACCCCATCATGAATGAATTGGCTCTCCGAATGTAACTGACCATCAGTGTGACAACTGATTTGACTGCTGATTTTTATGCTTCACTTACAGCAAGAATTGCCCTGTCCCGTTCCACCAAGTCTGCTAACTTATCCAAAAGATGGCCTCTTTCTGAGGCATCCATTCTCCTCCAAACAGAACCAAGGGAAAAAGCCAGCCGAGCTGCCCTCACTGCCTTGTCCGTATCAACCTGGGAAGAAGCAAGAAGAAAATTGAAGATACAAGGTAAATAACACAAGCAGGCTTATGGAATTTGCTGTTATACAACCTTAGTCAAATGTGATGGGTTTTGGAACTATGATTAATGAAAGAACTGTCCAACAGCGCTATTCTGGACTGGTTGTTTTGATCTATTTATACATTTGTATTATCTTTTATACATTTAATTTATACATTAAACATACAGCCATTCATAGGATACATTACCTTGTCAGCTTCCTGAATGTCACAGATTTGTTCTCCTGTTGCTGGATTATATACTGGGAATATTCTTCCACTTTCAGAATTCTGCCACTCATTATTGATGAAAATCTAGAAAAGGAAGAAAATTCATCAGGTGTCTTGCATGAACAAACAGTAATGTATATAACAACAAACTCATGAGAAAAGCTGCAGATTCTAATACAAAATAACTGAAACTTATTTTTGTGTGTGAAAATTACAGTTTTCAAGAGTTCAGGCTGAGGTCAGCCCCTGATGTCTTTCTGTATTCTATAGCAGTGTCATCATAGAAGCAACATCAAAGTCTAAACATTGGTTGATGTTCAAATTTGGTTCAAAAACTGTAACAAATAAACTAAAAAAAGAAATAGCTGTATCAGAGAAAAAGCCTTGAAACTGCTGGAGACAAGACAAGGATTTGGAGTAATCACTCAGTTCAGTAAGTAAACATTTAGTCACTGATACATCCCAGTCAAGGCTGAATAATCTCAAACATCACAGTTCTTCAATACACAGTCAGTTAATTATGGCTACAGTGACGGCTTGCAGCACAAAACTAACTTGCTTATCTGCTAGGAACAATGGAAATTGTTACATTCTCTCAGTGTTGATATTTTAATTGTCAGGGGCAAAACAAATTTAAATGGTAATGGTGCTGACAACAGCTGTCTTGAGAAAGGTAATGACAAATGAGTTTATTTAAAGTAGATTTTTACTGGTAGCTGCATACATGTCCGTTCTTTTCTGCTGAAAGACTTTTAAGAACAGGATGCAATTATTTATTAGCAAGTATTAAAGAAGTCACTACATGAAAATGAGCAAAAAGTTTTACAGGTATTCAGACTCTTTCTTTTAAATCTTTCTAAGAATAAAAGTGTTCCAAAAATCCAGGCATGATTTGGGTTCCTTGGAGTCCAGATATCAATGTATTTTTATTGGATTCCATGAAATGCAACTTTAAATGTGTAAGATGATGTCCTGGCCTCATTGAAATATACCAGAATTTTCCCCCTGACTCCACTGAAAGCAGGAGTTCACATGTAGAGAGAAGGAATGTTCACCACCTGGTTTGTTTTCTTTTTGCATACAGGGCTGTGTTTATAAAGACAGGGACCTTTGAAAACTTGAGGAGTTCCAATCAGAGATACACAGGTGAGAGAAACTGGCCCATCTTTATACACATGAAGGCAAAAATACATCTGTAGAGTTTTCAGTTACTGGACATGAGCTTGCTCAAACCTTCCAAGCCAAATGGAAGTGCTGTAGCTGTGTTCCTCTCAGCAGGGCTTGTTAGCTCAGCTCAGTGCCACAGTAGCTGCAGTGCTCACTCGTGGCACATGTGTGGGGGGAACCTGTGCCTGCCTGGAAAAGACCCTGCCAATAGAACTGTACACAGGAACCAACAATTCCATGTGCTTTTGCTATTATGGATGCATTTCTGTTGTGCTTCCTCATCTTCCCTACTCCTCAAACTTCAACCCCTTTGCTGTGTACTCCTCCATCCATTCCAGAGTCTGTCATTTCTTTACTCCTCCTTGCTCCTTCTGTTTAGGTTTTCAAAGGTTGCTGAACTCAGGACCTACCTCACCACTACCATTGCTTTCCTTGCATGTCCTGTTTATCCTGAACCTGTTTGCATCCTTGGACTGTGTCTCAGACTGTGCTGGTGTCTTCCTGCTCAGTGATGACACTGTTCAGCAAACCCAAAACTGGTCCCTGTTAGGACATTCTGGAGCTAACCCAAAATGAGATAGTGAAAGAATCACCAGTATGATCTCTAGTGACCAATGCCATAAGCTGAAATCCTCTGGTCTATCATTGTCACTTTTAGACCGTTAGTGAAGCAAAGAAACACTGAGATCTGTGACCTCTGTGGAAGAAGGAATTTATTTCATGCTTTCCACTGAGTTTTCTCAGAGTTAACTCTGCACCCAGTGAGTGTGTCAGGGGGTGCTGAGGAGGGAGGGGAAGGGAGAAAACTTCCAGCTTCAGGAGCAGATGGCCAGAGAAGATGTAAGCATGTTTGTTTAAGGTGACAGGATGTACATAAACACATGGGCTTCTTGTGTGAGCTGCATTGAAAGAATAAAGCAGTTTGGTTGAGTACAAGAACCTGAGAAATTGTGGCAGCCACAATTCAGTACATTTCCCTTAGAGCAGTGGTCTGTTCTTTTTTAAATAGATTAAAAAAATTTAACTCCATTCTGCTGGGATTAACACCTATCATCAGGTTTGCTAGTACACAGGACATATATTCGTTCTTGAAATACATTTCACCATAGGAATGAGAAATAGTGCTGTGGAATTACAAAAGAGTGCTGCAATTCAAGCTGACTGGAAGGAAAAGCTGTATGGTTTTATTGAATGCTCCATTTATCGCACTGACTTAGAAAAATAACAGTAATAGTAAATATTTCAGATAGGACATGGGAAGGATCTATTTGGCATAAAGTTAGAGCTGAAAGCAAGAGAAATTGCTACTGTTAATGGTTAATGTTAGTTTCTTCCTGTTCCACTTTCTATAAACAAGGTATTGCCTATACAAGCTCATTACTGTAAACTGAGCACATTTAAATTGGCAGTAAAATCAGAGTATTTACTCTTGTGCACAAATAAAATACCTAGTCCTATGTTTTGGAACAGTTTCAAGTCTTGAAATCCAGCAGCTGGCGGCTTTACAAGCAAAGCCTTACACTTAAATAATTCACTTTTGAAAGTTTTAGGTGTTCTGTGTCAGGTAGTACCATTCAGCAGATATTCCTACCACCGAGACGCAGATTCTTTTGCAATAAATTTGCATTCACAGGGGCTTTTATAACTCTTCCAGCACTACTGACTCCAATGGCTGTTGATTAAATGTATATATCCTGTACATTTAATCTGACTTTCATTATGGCCACTTCGTAAAAATGCCATGAATTGGAGAAGCGATGACACATTGCAAGAAAAAGGAATCCCTGCAAAGCCTCAAACTGGGTTTTTTTTCTCCCTTATTTATAGTGATCATGCTAAAGGCTAACTCTAAATCAGGGGGAATATTTGACAGCAAATGTTCCTATCTATGGATTATATATAACCCATCCTAAACACCAGATAAAAAAGGGGTAACCTTAGAAAAAGAAGGGCTTGCTTCCATGTAAATCATGCTACAAATTGGACAACACCCAGTGAGTTCATTGTTCAACCTCAATTGTGAAGGCTATTCACATTTACTATTCCCCTGGAATCAATGTTAATTAAGGCTGACTTGGGCTATAAATCAGCCTTTGGTTTTTACAACTTAATTCAGCATTAAGCATATATATGTAAATAAAAGGTAACTGATTAACCACTTGAGTTTTCCAGGAGTTACTGAGGTAATTTGTTTTTGTTTGAGTCCTAGTGTTACCTTTTGTGATATGCAGTAGGGAGAAGAAAAAGTCTATAGTGTGTCATGCATTTGCTATGTGGTATTGTGGCAGTTAAATAATCTGGCCTGTTGGGTGCTATCAATAGCATTATGCCAAAAGGCAAAGGGAAGAAGGGAGCACTTGAAAAATCTTGGAATACACAAACATTTTGTTTGCCATTTATTCTCAGTAGAAGCAGTAATGGCCATAATGTCAGAGCAAGAAGATAAAAGGCCAACTTTGCTGCTGTGCTGAGGTGTCCCTGGCAGTGCACTGATTTAGCCACGAACAAACCCAAGAGGCAAAGCAGCCAAGGCTGCTGTGAGCGCAGTCTGGCTGCAGCTGGTGTGAGGTGGGCGAAGGAGGATACCAAATACCTTTGTTCCCCAGTGATGCCAAAGAGACCAGCAGAGCAGGGCAGCTGGGGGTGCAGGTGCTGGGGTGTGTGAGGTTGGGGGGTGGCAGGGGCTGTTCCAAACAGAGCAGATGGAAAGGGCATGGATTTTCCTAAGAGAACAGTCACATCACTCCTGGTACTGACAATAACTCATGTTCTCACAGACCTTTTACTAGAACTTTGCAAGATAATGGTCCCACCATGTATTCACTAGGTTCAAATCCTGCCTGTGGCTAATTATATATGGCCTCTGTTGACAGAGTTCCACAGGGCTGATCAAGAAAGCAGTCTGACTCATCCTACAGGTCAAGTGACTGTTCGGTGCTTTAGAGATACCTCATCATACCAGAAAGTATACAAAGGAAAAGTAAACTCCAAAGTTACCATGCAGAAATTCCAAGTTACTTTGAAACTGCTGATGTGTAGTTGGAAGAAACTCATACATTGCATTTTGCACAAGACCTGTATTTCACAAGCATTACACACTGAGTTCAATAGCATTTTGGATGCTCATCAGTTTTGAAATCAAGAGCCAAGAGCAAATGTTTTTAGCATAACACAAAGCAAATTTAGCTTTGCAAATAAACAACTACAATCTCTTTTTTCAGTAGCCATCCATCCCAGCTGGCTTAATAATAATTAGCAACTTAATGTTAATTTTAAACCATGCAGGTAATTGGAGTGATAAGTATTCAAAGAGGAAGGGATGTGTATAAACCCAGTCTGGACATTCTGATCTGCAGTGCAGCAATAGCAAAATTTAGAGTAGGGAGAAAACATGTTTTCATCACTATTTACTAAACAACTATCTTTATGAGTGTGTGTATAAATATAATTAATTAAAATAAAGCACAGAACTAATACCTCCTTTGCAGCTCTTAGTTGAAGGAGCTTTAGTTTCATGGCACTTCAAATTCCCTCTGCTGTTGAGCCAGGGGCTAGCCCTGGATTTGGGAAATGGAACTGATTTTTACATTCACTGGGGATTCCTGCATGCTCAGTGCCTCTCTTTTTTGTATTGCCTTTCCTTAAAACATACAGGGAAAAAAAAAAAAAAAGATTTTGGGCTCTCTTAATTCATAAGACTAATCAACACAGGTGGCAACAATGTAACTTTTCATTTCCTTTCTTGAAAATGTTCTCAAATGATGTGTGAGTGAAATGATGATCTACATTCTTAATTCGATATTGCTTAGTGATGATGTCATGAGACATTTTCTTCAGGCTCCCCAGCTGTTTAGCTCAGAACTTCAGGCAGTGCACAGACAGTGGCCCTGCATTCAGCTCTTTGGAGGTGGAATTAT